TGTCTTAGATTTCTTGAGAATACTCATATCTATATATCTACATAAGGCTTTTTTAAGGGGACTACTTGGTCTTTGGCATTACTTAATATATTTTGAAATTTATCTATATTATTGTCTATATTCTCAGTATTGTTGATATTAAAGGGATTCATTAATTAGATTTTCGGAAAATTCATTATCAATTATTCTTTTAAATTTTTTCCAATTTGCTTTTTTAAAATTTGGGATTTTTTGTTGAATTGGAATATCAAAATATTCGAAAATCGAGAAAGTGAAAGGAATATGATCTGATGAAAGATCATGTATGACTTCCATATCTGACATTGATACTATCTGTTTAGAAATGACAAAATCTAGTGTTGATGGATTTCCTACAGCAGGGAATACTGTAGGTTCAGAGGGTGAATGTATTTTGCATAAGTTTAGGAACGATTTCAAAGAAGCTTTATTTCTAAATATTTATTTTCTCTTCACAAATAAAATAAGTCAGATGAACAAAATAACAAAAGCAACAACAAATGATATGCGAAACGATCTTCTCTCATATGCATGCATAATTTTGAAATCTCCATAGAATATTTTGAAAATTTTCTTTATAAGATTACGATTTTAATCCAGGTTAATTTAATATTTTGATCATTCTGGCTTCATTTTGATTGATGAAAATTGAAAGCTTCTTGTGGATTCAATGATCGCGTCCGATTGTCTCTTCAACTCCTGGTTTATTTAAATTATTTTTTGAAATTCTTTTTCTTCAAATCATAAACTGTTACTTTATGTATGCATGTAGAGCTGAAAATAATAAAATGAATAAGTTTTTATGTAAAGTATCTTTATTTCTTAAGCTTTTCGAATTAAAATTTTTCGGTCTCAATCATTTTTCTGAAGCAAATGAAAATTTGAATTAATTTTCTTTGTCATCCACTCCAATTAAAGTTTTAATAGCTTTGTCTGATATAGATGGCGTTGTTTCTGCTTTTTTTACTACTTCTGCGGGTTCCTTTGTATACCTAGTAGATGCTGGTGTTGTTGGTGGTCTGAACCCGTCAGTGACTGCTATATATAAAATATGTTCGATTAGTACCTTTTTATCATCGCATATGACTAACATCCTTTCAATTATTTACCTCCATTTGCTTCTGTTTCATCAGTTTCCTTTTTAGGTTGATCGCCATCAGTTCCACCTCCAACGCCTAAAATTGACCGAAGTAAAACGTTTCTACCAATTGGAGCACTGTTCACAACAGTTGCAACGAGTAACAATAAAATTCCCTTAAATAATAATAACATGTTAACACATTCAAACTTCACAGAAATTAATTATTTATTGCAGCTTACGATTTTCAACATTTTAGCCATCTTTTTCGCACAAACTAAAAGTTATAACTGATGGGTGTGATCATTGCTACAAAGCTTCTTATACGTGTTTTTGCATGCAAATTTGAAATATAAATTAATTTTAATAATTTTTTTAATAGTTCAGGTTTGCTTTATAGGATAATATATGCCATCCTAT